GAGACACCGCAACGTTTCTGAAATGTATCATGTCGAATTTGACTTTATTAACTTTTTCTTTGGAATTGACATCTAAACTGAAGGCGTTTCTTGAAGAGGAAGTAAGTTGACGGCAATGTTCATTTCCGGTATTGCGATGGGTTTTCCCTGAGAGACGCCGCAGCGTTTCTGAAATGTATCATGTCGAATTTGACTATAAACTTTTTTTCAAAATCCATATGATTTTGTGTGCATATCGACTATTTTACACGCATTATATTATTCCATATTTTTGTGAATTTTGGTATTTTTTTCGCTTCATCTCACCTTCAAATTTAATCATCAAAATCTTGATATACCCACGGACTCACGAAAAAGAAAGCAAAAGTAAAATTTCGTTTCGGAAACTATAAAACTGTGATCTCGAACTGTCAAATCTAGAATAGTTTGCGGRTATGTGCTTTTATGGATGTGTTTTGGCACGTTGAAAGGACTTTGATGGACTTCCTGTGAATATGGGAATATTGGGTACTTGTATTTCCGCAATGAAACATTGGTTGCTGGTGGGTAAAAGTGCTTTATCATCGATCCCGTGACGTGTGATTTTCTACATCACTGAGCCCCTCAGTCGTGTGAAACCGAAATTTGTTCTGGAACATTGACGCGGATGGTCAGAACGAAAAGCTGAATTATTAGGTTAAGTCATCCCATTTCATCACACCGAAAGTAGAATAGTTTAGTAGCTAATTACTTGAGAAGTAAATAATCTGCAGCAGTACAACGGGAGCTCAGAACAGCGTTTGTTAATCATTGAGACTGCACATGGCGGAAACTAATGTTTTAACGACTAAAACAGGAAAAAATGGAGACGAAAAGGTCCTACAACGATTCAGTCAAACGGCTGAATACTGCCTCAAGAATCGAGGCGAAGGGAAAGTTCTTTTCAACTCAGGAGTGAAGAACAATTTCCAATGGAGGCCAATTTGCTTCGCAAGCCAAAATTTCCGTGCTTATTACGCTTTGGAAATGTTTGGCGTGAGGTCTGAACTCGTTTGCAATGCATTCAAGACGGTAGTCGAGAAGGAAATCGTTTCTTTAGATGTCTTTCGTGAYATTACTAAAGTAATCAGCATAGGCTGTGGTCCTGGWGCAGAGATGTGGGGGTTCAAGATATTTTGCGACGAAATGCTGCCTTTCAGCAGCAACTGTAGTAATATAACCCGTCAGCCACCGAGATTTGTTGGTTTCGACWGTGAGCTCGGATGGATGCCCTTTGTAGAAGCACTGGAGTTCGAGTTCGTCAACAAAGAAATCACACTAGAAAGTCTACGAGAAATGATGCCCACGGATGTAATTATMTTGTCATACTTTGCCAAATYCGCGCGCGTTAATTTAAACAATGAGAAATCCACWGAGTTCTGGGAAGAATTAGAAAAGAAAGGCAACTTTATCATTGTTTTAGATTCACCAGACGAAACGCTTCGCTTCCTTCTCAAATCCCGAGGCTATAGCGTGTTTACTTTGAGCGACAAACATGGACAGGACTGCCAAGTACACTGTCTTCAGCAAACAGATTACGCGGTATTACGACGAAGYCAACACACTAAAATATCGCGAAAGTGATTTTGACTTTGAGTAGCTGGAAACGAATATGAAATATCTTGGTTGAAGACCATAGTGTCAAAACATTTCAAAAGTTTTACAAAACATGACCTCAATGGCATTTTTTTTCTTTTATGGCACAGAAAATAATTCTACTGTTAGGCGATGTTTTTTTTAAAAGTGGATAACACCAGGAAAAACAATCAAGTAATGAAAATTAATCTTTCTCCATATCATGGGGGAATGACATTGAGTTTGCATGATCACGTGAAATATGAATTACATAAAAAGACAAAATCTGAAGCGTTTTGTTTGGCATCAACCTGATGGAAATTAAGTCGATTTACACCATTTCTAATGAAATACATTTAAGTGTTTTTGGACAATTTCCTTTCTTTCAAGATTGACTCCATATTCCTGTGGAAATTCTATCTTTGAACAAACTAAGCCATTAAATAAACAAATGAACAGCAAATTATGAGCCTGACAATTGTAAAATCCATATCTGTACCAGGAGGTCTGGAGACAGGTTATCTAATTATTACAATGGATCAAACCTGTGTGTCACAACAGAAGATTGYAAGGATGATCTGTCCCCAGATCTCCCCCTATGAGGATCTTATAGTATCATTATTTTGCATTATACCATTCTCATACCCACTGCCTCACTCACTGACTCTGGGTAGCCCCTGTTAACCATTTGACTACAGTTTCCATGGCACTTACAGCAGAAACCGTTGCATCGCGACTTCAATGTTCAAAAGAAATCATTAGAATTTAGGTTTTTCTGTGACTTGGGAGCGGAGCTTGCTGCAAATCAGCCAATGACTGAACGAGTTTATGATAAGCTTCGCCTCTTCGATCGAAGGAAAGAACAAAATCAAAACAAACTTCGAAACGAAGAAGACGCGATGCAACGATTTTCGCTGTAACTATGCACACTATTTCCCTACTCTTTGTGAAACATTTTCAAGCTTTTGATTTCCCATAACCTGAGTTGAAAACATATTATGGTATGTAGTTCACCAGGATACCTTCCACAAACAAATGTCTGTAACTGAGAGGTTAGATTTTCTGAGGATTTAAAGACTTTTTCTCAGAGCATACAAATACAAACTAAAAATTCGAAGGTTTTTAAGAGTAAAAATATTTCAACCACCAATTTGCAGTGAGGATGGTCTGGGTATGAGAATGGTGTATAGACGCCTTGCAGTTCATGGGAATGCAGCTCCAACTGGAGGACAAAAGAATGGATTCTCCAGTTCCCATGAGGGCAAAAATCTTTTGTTTTGTCCTCCAGATGAAACTGCTTTGATGTCRCATGCAAAGGTCTATACTCACAACAACTAAAGGCAGTTTATCAAAACAATAATATTGAAAAAAAAAATAAAATAGAAATGTATGTCATGGCATTCAATTGATGCTGCTGTAGCGTCTTTTTATATACTTATGTTAATTTTGTTCCCAGATCTTCTTAGTTCATGTCCAGTTTCCCACGGATAATCTTGTACTTGATTCCTGGGCAGTCCTGGACACGACCTCCTTCAAATAACACAACACCGTGTTCTTGAAGCTGCCCCCTCTCACGAGGGATATAAGCAGAGATTGTTTTTCCATTGCTGAGTTTCAGAAGAGCACATTTTCTCTGAGCAGAGTTGGGTTTCTTGGGTTTACGAATAAAAACTTTGATGCAGACACCTTTTCTTTGGGGYCCYAGTAAAACTTTCTCGGATCTGGGTATRTAAGGCTTGGGTTGCATTTTCTTTGTACGAGGCTTTATACTACGGAGTTGATTAAGTGTAGGAAGGTKTCTCACACCACTTGCAAATGAGCTAATCTTTGATGTAATGCAGTGTGCWTCTTGCTTTGCAAATGTAGAAAAAGGAGMCTGGATCASCTGTTTTGCTTGTTGTAATATAAGATTATTGTTTACTCTTGTGGTTGTTCTGTCTGTTTTAGTCTGAGTACCTAGAAAAAAATAAAGGTATGTTGTTAGCTTCTGTATTATCATGATCACAAAACAAACATAATYACAACTTTGAAGGAAAACGTGTTTACAAGTCAGTATCAATAATATCAATAGTTACCCTGCGAGCAGAGTGTATTTCCTTACCTCAATAAAAATTCGCGAATTTTTATTGAGGTAAGGAAATACACTCTGCTCGCAGGGTAATCAACAGTGGGTTGGCAACTAAAATTAAAGCAACCAAAAACAGCACAAAATCGAATATCATTACCTMTATGGTGTAATTGAGGAGCATTGATTGTGCAGATAGTTCGCTTATAAACGCCCATTATCTAGAAATTAATAAACACGTGATCACATAATGAAGATGCAGAAAAGTTAGCTAGAAAAAATAAAGGAAATAAAGTTTCATGGTGTGCAATTGTYCCAAAAAGGAACTTCAAAACAGTCTTTAATTATTTAAAACACAAAAAGATGACTTACATTCGAGCATTTCAGCCAAGAACTTAAAGAAAATCGTCCCAACGTTAGAGWGGACGACAACCTTGCGGCAGCCATCTTGAATCTTGAGTACTCCACAGGAAACCCAAGGTTACTTCCAAACTACAAAGCGTTTTGCTTTCATAATTCACAATTTTTCCATATTTTTTTCTTTTAATAAATCCTTTTAATTTTTTTTAAGTCAATTGAATTAATTTAGTATTTTATCTTTTCCATAAATGTTTTTTTTTTTGTAATATTTTTTAAGCTGTTTTGCGTCGGGAATCCTGTGTACCCATAAATCCCTCGTCTATTTCGTAACCCGAAAAATGCGCCAAAATGGCGGATCATCCCTTGGCTGGAGAAAATGTCCAAAACCTTCCGTTTACTATCCACAAATGGTCCAGCTTCTCTGCTAAYTACTATCCAGAGTACGGATTATATGATCTGATTTTTAAAATGGTAAATTTATTTATTAGCTTGCGTTTTAATAATCTTTTTTCGTTTGTTTAGAAACATTTTAGTGGATAAACCAAACGATCAGTCTTCAAGATGGTCTTCRGATAGCAACTATCCTCCCCAGGTAAAGCGCTAATCCTATTTTATTTTTTGCAGAATAAATGCGAAGTATCGTAAATGTATTACCATCATTTTGATTACCATTATTTTGATCAGTTTTTGCTGATATAAGATACACGCATGTTAACTTATAATCTTGGATTTAAGCTTTTAGAAAGAGGTCATCTTTTAATCGTATTTAAGCTTACTCTTTAGAGCTGATCGTGTTAAATTGAATATTTTTGTCTTCGAAGTCGTCAAGCATAAACAGAAAAGCGAATATTTGTGTACATTTTATTGTGAGATTATGACGTTATTTAGCTTATTTACGTAAATAGACATTGTGTTCTGCTTGTGCGAAGAGTCAGACAAGTACCTGTCAAAATTGATGTACTTATAAAAAAAAGTTTAAGTCTCCGAGGAAATTTGTTTATATTTTTGGCTTTGCATTTTTAACTTTGATTCATTAWTTTATCATTTATTTTTCTAAGTTTGTTTATTTTTTTTAATTGGAAAAAAAATGTGATTATATTTTGTAGTTTTTAACATTAAAGCTAGCAAGACCTGCCATTCTTACTAACATAACATTTGGCAAATATGAGAAAACTCATGTATGTAACCTGAGGAAGTTTAAAGTGTATGGTGGGCTGCATGATGAGCATATGATCGAACTTCTTCAAAGGTACAAAGTATCCTTTCTTCTTGTAGTTTTTATATCAAGCATTATGTGTCTATCAGTGGCTTCCCCCTGAGGGGAACCAGAGAGATTTGCCAAAATGCTCCATAAAACATAATGAAATTCCTGTGAGTRAGGGGAAGAATAGGAATGACAAATGTCCCCGGGGATGGGAGGGGGGATAGATTATCGGAAATCAGAAATGAATTTTTCGAAGTGCAACACTGTATTTGAATGCTTTCGCTACATTTTGTAAATAGTWATAGGTCATTAAATTTTTCTTAAAGTATAAACGTAAAATGAAGCTGGAAATGTTTGCAAGGAAATCTAAGAAAATAAGGAAAATTATGAAACTCAGAGACGATAGTTTRATTCGTTGATACTCTTTAACTAATAGCCCCAGGGTAGGCCTGTGGGTAAAATTCACGATCACAAAAGCAAAATTAATCCCCCACCTCCCTGGGCAAAAAAAACACCTTACAATCAGTGAAAAAACCCTCACTTCTCCTGGGTTCCTCGGGTGTCACCCCCAGGGGGAGGCCGTTGATAGACGCATTAGGGTTCTTTCGAGAGATGTCCAGATAAATGATCTATTGTTATCTTGAATTTATCAGACAAAAAGATGTCTGATTCATCTGGATCTTCTTCTTGTGACTCGTTTATATTCACTGTTAGTAAAACCATAAAAATCTTCTTGATCGCTCTCCATTACAAACATAGACTTCAACTGCAAACATCAGTATAAAGTTGGCTGATGACCTATCATGAAATATGAGATATTTTGGTTTCAGTGGCCTAAAGAATGACAATGTCAAAGAAGGGTTTGGGCTTCGACATGAACTGGAGGAAAAACCATTTCCTTGCAGGTTTATTAAGATYGGTAAGCAATATAGAGATTATAATACCATTACATTTGTCTTGAGCAYGTGATATAGGCGTAGCTGCACAATCAATGCTCATTTTTTAGCTTTCAGGACTTTGCATAGACAGCACCAAATGTTCAAACACCTGACTTTATATTTTATTATGTTTCTAGTACCTATAATGTCATGGGGACCAAGCTTCAATTTCAGCATCTGGTTTATTCAACTATCAGGAGTGGATGATCCAGTCATTGTTAACCCTAGTCTTGAGTGGTTCAATACAGTAAGTGTTGTGTAARGATTGGGTAGATTTGCTGTTTTAATCTGGCATGTTGTCACTAGCATAATATGTTCCACAGGTAACCCATAACATGCATAATTTAGTACACAGGTAACCCATATAAACATAATACTGCAGTAAGGATTATATTAGCTTGATTTACCACTACATCTCATGAAGTGCAACTGCTTGTAGTAAGATATTTCCAAAAGGAAATAACTTTAAAAAAAACAACAACTAAACCCTCATTTTATACCTTACGCTAGAATATATCCCTTATATCCATGAAACAATTTGCGTATTAAATTGACTCCTTTTTTTAGTATCGTGAAAGAGAAGCCATCAGGCTTTGCCTAAAGCACTTCAGACAACACAATTACACTGAAGCATTTGAGTCCTTACAGAAAAAGACAAGAATAACCCTTGAACATCCCATGTTGACAGAGCTTCATGAAAAACTTGTAAGTTAATAATTTTGATTATTAAAATTGTATTTGAAAAAAAACATTTTGTTAACAGTATTTTTTGTTATTGTTCGTTTTGATAAAGGTAGCATCTGGTGACTTTGATATGTGTGAAAGACTTGTGGAGCAAGCATCAGAAGGTTTGTTTCAATCTATTATTTATAGAAAGCTAATTGTTTAAATTATTCATGGTAATAA